TTGCCGCGGATGATGGGGTGTGTCAGCGAGGCGTGCCAACCTGTTTTTATCTTTTTTTTTTTATTCGACAAGCGACAAGACTGTATCATATTGTCTGTATGAGTCGTTTTGCACCACTTATTGTCACTTATCCTTTTCAGCAACATGTGGGGGACAGGCTGACGCGCGCCAAATGCAGCCGCGCTGACACGCCCCATGACCCACGGCGAACCACTGCGCCACTCACAGCAATATCTTCCGCATTGGGGTTAGTGGTTGTGGTGGTCGTTGTTGTGCTACCAAATATTGACGGTTTCGCTCCAAAAGTGGAGCTTGAGCCGAACATTACTGCTATACAGAAAGCAGTTATGAATAAATACATTGCAATTTACAAACCACTCAAAGAGAAGTACTTGTCGATAGAACATGGAAACCAAACAATGTCACAATACAAACGAATATTTATTCATCTAAGTATCACGTAATTGAGGAATTCTTCACAAAATTACTTATTGCAGAAAAGCAAATTATTCACGACCAGAAAATTTGCTTAATGATCACAAATCGAATATAAGGCCATATGCATAGGTCATCTCACTTCAAATCATGATTGTCCCACAGAATGGGCACAGTAACGATCGCAGAATAATTGAGCAATAAATAGTATTTTAACAGGATTAACTATTTTGGGTGAAACACATTACAAACTTGTTCGCTATGGACACGAGGCGTTTCGAGAGGCCGGATTTGGCGCGGTGCCAGCCACTTCTCCACCATTCGGGGGAGCTGGCAGGCGACCCAGTTGGTAGAAAATCGGCTGGCGCCGTGCCAAATCCAGCACTGAGATGCCCGAGCCCCGCTGAGAACAAGACTGCATTTATTAAACGAAATAGGAATGGTGGGCGAATTTTCAACACTAAATACTTTTAGAGAAGGCAAGAAACAGCCACTATTCGAGGATGAAGTTATGAATAGCTAGGGCAGTAGAACTGTCCGGTATGTTTTGCTGTGAAATAAGGTTACTATGATTTCTCTAGGGGCAGATTTCGGAACGAGTTTACACTTAATGATCGATCGTTTCGATCGCGCGACTAATACCGGGGGCACTTCCCCAAGGTCGACCGTCGCAACGGTAGAATCAAATTGGGTCTTTCTTTATGTTTGTCTTTTATCTATTCGCTCAACGAGTTCAAAAGACTTACTGGATCCACGTTGCAGTGAACTACCCGGTCGTTCGCGCGATCAGTCGGCTCGGAGCATTCATCCGGTAGTATTGATCCGCTTCACTTGCTCCCTTTCCTTTTCCCGCTTATTACCAATCGAGCAAACAAAAGAAAGGCGCCCATTTAACGTTTTTCTGCCTCTCCCGCTCGACAAAACCTCAACAGTTCTTCCAAGTCGAACCAAAACACCCTCAAACCCGTCAGTATCCAGTATATTCAACTATTTCACAGCAGATAACGCCTTCGCCTTTCACTACCCTAAATCCGCTTAACAAAACCAAGGGCACTTCAATATCGGAAGGAGAAAGAAGATATCATCGTCTGTAAGCGTAGTAGCCGATCATTACTGCAAGAATCAAAGCACCACCAGCGTAGACAGCTCGAGTACTGATGCCCATATGATTCGCAACATTCCCCACGAGACTTCGCCTAGCCGCTTCTGACTCACGACTACGAGCCACCATACGTGCAACCATCTCACGTCTGAACGACATCACTTCAAACGTGACTCTTGTGATCGTCTTTCCGCGCACGCCGCCTTAAAATAGTGCGATCCTTTGTGTCACCTCTCTTACACGGTTAGCTGTTGACATGCTTGAGCTCAAGCTCGAAAAAAAGCACAACTCGTGCCAATGCACCAGCACAGCTACTTTCCTGGCCACAATGATTGTGAATTTAGTAATCTGCGTCGTCGCATTCAAAATGAGCGACAGGTAAACGCCAGGGCGGACCTCCGAAAACACACGAAAACACAGCAACCTTCACACAACTTACAAGAGCAATCATTACGCTGCCGAGTTAGCAAACGTCAGCTGCCTAGAGCAGATGAGATCTTGAATAAATAAGAGGCGGAGGTGGTATAACGACAAGTGGTACGTTTACCACTCGCGCGATCATGGGCTCGAATCCCGGCGGACTCCCGCCATGGCCCAAGCCCCTCGGATGGTAAATTGGTACCAGGTTCGTCTGGGAGGATAAGAACACTGACTTGTACATCGGCTGGCCCCCGCAAGTCATTGTATAGGCCACATCGCATTCAATAAGCCACTACGACTCCGAATGGAAAAAAGTGCGTACCGCATTCCACAAGGGTTGATTAACGGTGAAGACTTTATCCTTCATCTTTAAGTGGAATAAGCAGAGGAACTCAGGAATAACACGCGAACAATTTCATGAAAATCACATATATTTCCAATAACTCAAGGGCAGGATTTCATGGAGCAGTTTCGCGTTCAACAAAAACATTTCAGCCAATACATGGAAATCACACGCCTAAGGCAGCGTTCAGACTTCGCGACGGCAGCGCTTCGGTCGCGCGATTCGACGATCGATGCGCATGCTTTCGACTGCATCGATCGCGTCGAACGCGCGACCGAAGCGCTGCCGTCGCGAAGTCTGAACGCTGCCTATTTTATAGACACTTCCCGCGATAAAGTGACGTGACCCGTGGACTTGGCATACGTGTTCGCACTCGCAGAGAGTGTACCATTTTCGTCACTCGAAACGGCGAGATGAAGAGGCCACATACGCATAACTA